ACCATTCTTCATAGGATCCAGCCAAGACCCTCATCATATTCTCTGCACTCTTTCCAGTTCTCAGCATCTTTCTTGTATGGTGGTCTGGAATTGGATGCAGTATTCCAGGTCTGGTCTGACAGACACACATAAAGCAGAACTATCACTTTCTGCAATCTCAACACTGTACCTCTGTTGATGCAGCCAAAGGCTGCAGTAGCTCTTTTGACAAGCTGCAGCATGCTGCTGGGTTATGCTTAAGCAGGAGGCTGAGATCCTTCCCACAAGTACCTCTGCCAAGCCAGGTACCACTTACCCTGTACTGTGCATCTGCTTTTCCTAAGTGCAGAACATTACATTTCTTACCTAGCATATGACTGTATAAAGCCCAATATTTAAGACTATCAAGATTATTTTGCACCTTGAGCACGTCTTCTGAAGTGTTAGCAATCTGCCCCCTCCCCCAGCTTTGTGTCATCTGCAAATTTAATCAGCATCCTTTCTATCCCCTTGTCTTTCATTTATGAAAATGCTGACAAGTACTGGGCCCAGGTCAGAACTCTGAGATGTCCCCACTGGATACCTCTGTCCATTCAAACAGGATCTGTCTTGTAATAACTTAAATCCAGTATTCCATGTCTTGCTTTCTGAATGTGAGAGAATAAGTCTTGACCTTCTTCTATGGGACTTCAAGTTTCTGAAGATCTACTTATCACATCTCCCTAGTCACTTTTCTTAAAGCTAAACATACCTAGATCCTTCACTCTCTCATCAGAGCAATTAGGTTCTAGTTCCCTGGTCATTGTCATTGCCTTTCTTTGAGCATTTTCTCTGAATCCTCCACCAAGTGTGGTACCTAAAACCAGACAGAGTACGCAAGGTGAACTCTGACCAAAGCAGAATAGAGCAGATGATCCCCTAACTGATGCATTGTGAGGTGCCTGTGGTGTTTGCCAACACTGGCAAACTACCTCACAAATGCATCCTTCTGATGACCTCCCCAGGCACATATATCTAGGGTAACCTGGGGGACTCTGGAGAGTCCAGCCAGTGCTGCTACTGCTGCTGCTGCTACCAGGAAGAGGCGTGGCGAGGAACTAGCCAAACCAGAAGCAGTTTAAAGTGTCACACCCTCCTCTGCCTCATGCAGTAGATCTTCTTGGGATATCCACACTACTCCATGTTTGCTGTTATCCTGATATTTAGCAGTCTCCATCTCTCCAAATCTTGTGATTTACATCAAATAACAAGCCTATGCATGCTAACTGCAAAGATGTATCCCATTGTGTTGGGCCATAAAATCTGGTAGACGTTTAACTTGTTCTTCACCAGAGATCAGGCCTGGAACTTTTGGCTACCTGAAGTGCTAGAGAGCTAAAGCCCTGGTGAGGAGAAAAACCTTGATGTTAGTTCCTGACACATATTTCTCTTTCACCACCTACCCTAGGAAGGGGAAAAGGTATTTAATTCCAAAGATTAATAGAGTGTTTATAAAGAAGATTGCAAAGTTCACATAGATTCACTCCTGAAATGTATTTTATCTACATATTAACTGAGGTCTCAATTCTTTTTCTACAGCTACAGGCATCCTAAGCATATGCAGAGTAGATTCTGGTAAATTTATTTTTATGAGAGGACAAGACACAGCAAAATATTGGAGCTTCATTGCCTTTTGGTTTGTGCATAAGCTGAAGATGTGCATATTTGGTCAGTTTGTATTAAAAGGCAAATTAATTCTTCTCCATCCCTGTCCATAGCTAACATAGTATTTTGATAAAACAGCATAATGGATACTAAGCACTGATAGAGTCCATCCCTCATAGTTTGCAAAGCAGGCAAAGGTGTCAAAAAAAATCATATTATTTCTTCTCTTATTTCTAAGCTTTATTTCACTTCTATGCTTTCAAACTCAGTTCTAACATTACAAAGGATAGGAATGCCATTTGTATAAATGGAATAAATTAGTATTTTAGTCGGCCTTCACAGAACACATAAAAGTGACACACCTTATCACTCACCATCTTAACTTTGAAAAGCGAATTCCTCACACAGGTCCCAGGATCCAGAAAGATAAAATCACTAAAACTGTAGATATAACTTTTATTTAGGGCATGTCCTGCTCTTCCTCCCAGCCCTAAATAGATACATGGTTTTTTTATAGTCAGGAATAAGCAAGTCAGATCTTAAACTGTCATTATTCTGGGGTTATCTAGCAATTTCTGAGGTAAAAATTATTAGAGTAAAGAGCTTCTGGGATGTTTTTGCATAGTGGAAATGGGAGGAACAGCCTATACAGTGGTACCTCGGTTCACGAACGCTTCTGTTCACGAACAATTCGCATATGCAGATTAGATTCTGGTAAATTTATTTTTATGAGAGGACAAGACACAGCAAAATATTGGAGCTAAAGGGTAGGTAACAGTGCTCCTAATTTTCAACAGTTGGCTTTAGGTTGTTTGCCCAGACATACAGTGGTACCTCGGTTCACGAACGCTTCTGTTCACGAACAATTCGGTTCACGAACAGCACCATTCGCAAAATTTTGCTTCCGTTCGCGAACTCCGCATCAGATGACGAACAGGATCTGCGCCCATTTTCCCGCCCGTGACATGTGGTCGCGGCTTCCTGTAGGGAGGGGGACCCCCCCGCAAAGAAATAACCGCCTCCCCACCCGCCTTCCTGTCCTCCATGCCAGAAGTCGCGTCGAGCAAGGTTAGTGTTCTCTCTTCGTACTGTACT